AACTCGGCAGCAAGGCCACTTTCGCCCAGCCAAAGGCATGGAAAAAACGTCAGATGTGTGCATGCCCACGTGCCCTCCGCCCCCCCCCCCCCCACACACCATACATACCCCCCCACCACCATACACACACCATACATACCCCCCCCCCCCCACACACACCCATACATACCCCCCCCCCCCCACACACACACCATACATACCCCCCCCCCCACACACACACACCATACATACCCCACACACACACACGCATGAAGACATGACAAACAGAGACATCGACAGTGTAACTGATCAGAAACCAATTATCGCATTCTACATACCATGTACATGTACGTCTTGGGGCTGTACTTTCACATTCGGATTCATCACAGTGAACGGTTTCTGATACAGCTCAGCTTGATGAACAGAATCAGCAACCATGCTAGCTCTGAATAGAGAACATAACATGCACAACAACAAACACAGAAAACAACATGTTACTGAGTACTTGCCATTTAAACTTTCTGTGTTAGATCTGCTATGCCTGAAAAACGTGAACAAGCATTGTGAGTTTGTGGCCTGGAATTTTGGAAAGGAATGGTTGACATGGAAATGTTATACATCTTGTTCAGGTGCAGTGTTATACACAACCTGCATGCAGAATAACCTCAAACATTTTTCCATATGCACAGTCCTACTTAGCAAGATAGAACAGTGAGTGAGTTCTGGATTGAACCCGGTCATTCCGGTGGGCAAGTCAGGACATGATGCATTCGGATGCTCTCTGCAGCTTCCTTTCAGGACCAAGTGTGTGTTGGGAAACTATCACGACTAAAGACAGCTCTGAGCAATGCCTGCGTGGATATACAGGGACACCACAGTGCCTGGGTGGGTATACAGGGATAGTGCAGTGCCTGGGTGGTTGTACAGGGATAGTTCAGTGCCCGGGTTGATGCACAGGGACGGCGCAGTGCCTGGGTTGATGCACAGGGACGGCGCAGTGCCTGGGTGGTTGTACAGGGACTGGGGCAGCGGTGACTGCAGTTGGATCCCTCGACAGGTACCCTGATGCCGTCAATCCTTTTCTGCACCTTGTCCTCACCCACTTACTGAGGTGTGGTGAGCCCATAGTGGGATCATTTTCAAGTCCACCCAGAGTTTTGGGGATTTCAAGGGGTGTCAGCCGTTGGGCGGTTCAATAGCCAATTGAGTCATCTTTCCAAGATTCCTTTTGAGTCTCTCCCCTCTCCCGGGGAGACCCACGTGACCAGTTTTGGTAATGAGCAACAAGTACAAGTACAAGTACAGGGACAACACAGTGCTTGGGTGGTCTTACAGCGAAAGTGCAACAGAGCGAGGAAGCTCAGAGAGGCAGATTATACGAGATACCAAGCAAGCAATAAATCTCAGCAGCGGCTAAGCACATAATTATGCAAGTCGCCGTACTAAAATTGGAATACACCATATTATGATGCTACAGCTCCTTCATGAAGCTGAGCTAATGAGCTGCAGATTTTTTGTTTGTACATATAGCCGACTCCACTTATAACACACTCGCATATAGCGAATTCAGTGATATAGCGAACCATTGTCCATGTCCCTGTTTGAACCCATACAAAATTGACCCTTGGTGGTGAACCGGTTTTGTTTAAAAAAATCTTGTAGGGCAGAGTGATACCCAATTTCACTCACACTGTCATGGGTCACATGACAGTCATGACGTGTTGCTTGTAGGGCACGATTGCATCTCTGTTCTCCCGCACACTGGTGTTCGTTTTATCAGGAGTCCACTGCATAACGTTCTCTGTATCTATTTTCCTCTTTTCATGCATGTTTTCTATTTGGCGTGTGCAAGCCGCGTACATGCTGTATAACGGATATTTCTGGCGGGCATAAATACCCTTCTTTCTTTTCCTAATGTTGATGGTCTTCTAAGACCGCAACATCGAACAGTAAATAAGTTGGAGTTGTTACCGGGAACAGCAGTGCTCTCTTACCCGGGAATGTTAGGTTTTTCTTCCGAACACTGCACAGGCATATGTGCAGGTCTTGGCGGTGCTACACCTTCCCAGTGAGATTGATCAGCCTTTCCCGGTGACTCCCTGCCACTCTCCTCCGTCATCATGGCCACACTGGATGGTCGGGTACGTGCAGCTCCCTGTGATGCATCAGTACCCGCTGTATGTACTTGCTGTGGTCTTGTCCTTGGTGCAGTGCTATGTAATCCTGTACTGTGAGCTATTGGTACTGGCGGGTACGTGCCCTCAGACCCGGGCATTCCATGGAAAGCACCATCACAGGATTCGTCAACTGAGCAGCATAACAATATAGAAAAGAAAGAGCTGTGACAGTGCATGGCACCTCATGAACTCAGCACATATTGGCCAACATGTAGTTCATATCATCGTCTAACTAGACTTCACCTGAACCAAGACAGAGAGAGAGAGAGAGAGAGAGAGAGAGAGAGAGAGAGAGAGAGAGAGAGAGAGAGAGAGAGAGAGAGAGAGAGAGAGAGAGAGAGAGAGAGAGAGAGAGAAGAGAGAGAGAGAGAGAGAGAGAGAGAGAGAGAGAGAGAGAGAGAGAGAGAGAGAGAGAGACATCATATGTATTATATAGTAATATGTTCATAAGGTCACAGTGACTGAATACTTTCATGCTTGGATTAGCAGCTCAAAAGGGTAGGACGAGATGGCCGTAGATATTTGTAAACCTCACCGGCAATACTTCTACAATTATCATTCCCTCTGGCTAGCCGATAGTGCTCTCAATAAGCACCCTTCCTGAGCCATGGTCCTCGCTTTGTCCATGGTAACAGAAGCCATTGAAAATACTAGTGTTGAAATGATCTCACCAGATACTCGTTAGTCGCTCGCCAGAAACTCGGCTCGTTTGTGCGGCCAGCTCGTTTGCACTAACGAACACCGTACACCGTACTCCGTACACATGGCAGTACATGTCGACCGGAGAGTTGTAAAATATTTTACGACTCCATGGTCGATCGAGAGTCCAGTCCCGCGCAAAGTGAAAATCACTCGCAGTTACAGTGACTGTATGCCTGCACGACACTTGAGTTGTTTCAGTTGTCGTTGCAGCTTTGGTGGACTCTAGTGATGTCTTGTTCCGCATCTGCTGACCTGTCGCAGGATATGCTTCGGTGACCTCTGCATTCGAGTGAAAGTTACGCTCAGTCGTTTGGAAGTTTTCTCCCGCGATGCAGCGAAGCCCAGGGCTACTTGCAATCTTTGCAAAGCGGTCTATTCTTACAAAGGCTACTCGACGACGGCGCTGAAAAGACATCTCGACACCAAACAGCAGTCCGAAGTGAAGCAGCAGCAACCCCAAATGCCAGCGTGCCGGCGGTGATAATTTGAACCAGCTGAAAAAATCGAACTTAGAAAATTTTTTATTCAAAAAATCATATTTGCCACATCAATGAAACTCGTTAGCTCGCTCGATAGCTTGCTCGTTAGTGGAACTGATCGCTCGTTTGTTATAGATACGCTCGTTTCAACACTAGAAAATACTGGCATCACATGTCAAATCCAGCCTTGATCCTAGAGGGTGGTGGCGTTCCCACGGCGGATGCGGAAAACTCGGCTTCTAGCCGAGTCTCATGCGAACCGTGATTTATTTTATTTTATTAATTTATGTCAAATGCCCTCTCCGAATATCACCCAGCTACATTGCTTATAAAGTCCTCAATGCTAAACACTACGGAATAGTGGTACATGTAGCGACCTAGGCAATTATTGTACAACGAAGTTGTTTCCTCCAACCCAGGAGCCCACGCTTCCCCCTCCCCCCGACTTGGCACTTGACTGACTCACGCCTGCCATCCAGAGCACACGAGAAGCTCATCGAACCTTCCACTCGGCAAACCTTCAAGAAAGCACCAAGCCAGGTCAGCGGGAAAAGCGCGAGCTCCAGGGTGGGAGCAAACAACTTCATCATGCTAAACACCACAAGTTATACACTATTGACACCACACAGTTCTCTCTACAAGTATTCTAGCAAAATAGCTCAGTATGGCCATACCAGGGTATGTGCCAAATAACTGTTACCTTAGCATGTCCATACCCATGCATGTTTTAAAACTAGCAACCACATCATCTGAACACATGCTTTTCATGGGCATTCAGTGGCTGCGTTCGATTATGCACTTGAATCGATTCAAGTCGTTTGATTTTCATGTCATAAGCCCTGGAATCGATTCGGAATCCATACACCCTATTCACATGGGGTGATGTGAATAGCGCGAATCGATTCGTGAATCGATTCGCGTGCATAATCGAACGCACTCAGTGAGTATGCTGGCATTCTAACATCAGAACTCATGGTCTTGCTGGTCTTACCTGAGCTAACGGTGCTCATTCCGTCAGCCTTGGTGTCTTGCAATGTGCTGGCGTCTCAACGTAATCAGTGTGGCATGGTATTATGCATACCGATTACATAGTACCTGGCATGGTGCAAGCTGTCACAAGTAATGGACAGCTCAGTTCCTTTCTCTTCCTCTGAAGAACAAAAAGAAGGCAAACCTACTGAATTTCAATGGGCAGAACCAAACAAGAAGATATGCTTTAGGTCACAGAGAGAGAGAGAGAGAGAGAGAGAGAGAGAGAGAGAGAGAGAGAGAGAGAGAGAGAGAGACAGACAGAGTGAGTTGACCGCACATACATGAATTGTGCAGACATCATTCCCTGGATGATGCTCTGTCCCCAGGAACACCCTTGCCTGCATTGGCCGAATTGCTAGATACATGAACAAAGAACTATGGCCATTGATACATGGGTTGCGTTCACTATTGTTTCAAGAATCTCCCCTTGCGCTATACTCTATACGTATGGGTCACTGGAATATCGACTCATGTGGGTGCACGCCATAGTTACACGAAAATACCATGGCGGGCCGGCAGTGTAGTTAAGGATGAGTCTGCAATTTATCAATCACTGTACTGTATCTCAGAAAACTGTGAGGCCTTACTTATCCCATGCCCTTATCCAGTTACAATAACAGCCAGTCAGACATCCTTACTTATCCCATGCCCTTATCCAGTAACAATAACAGCCAGTCAGACATCCTTACTTATCCCATGCCCTAATAACCAGTTACAATAACAGCCAGTCAGGCATTCGTAGCAACACATTTATAGGAAACACATCGATTACAGGGTGAACTGTTTCACAGTCATTGTGGAAAGCAAACATGTCCACTTGAGCAAAGTCTCACTCTACTACAGGGATTAGGCCTGGGTGAATCCATAACTTAGTGTAGTTTAGTCAAAACACAAGTTATTAGCGGAGCCAAATCGACCTTGAAACTTTGGTATTTCATGACTACACAACTCATTTGTGCCTCACAGCAAACATTTCAAGCATTTTCAACACTCCAGAATTTACTTCTTTTGAACCATGTTTTATTCAGCTGTGTCGTCTTCCACGAAGACAGATCTTGTTCCAGCTGATATCGTCCCAAGAGAGAAGCAGCAGTGATACAAGTATTTGCTCGGGGTCTGCCCCCAAATGATAAAGAATTTTCATCACTAAACAGTGGCGGATCCAGGGGGGGGGGGGGGGGGCAGGGGGCCTGGGCCCCCCCTTTGAAAATTTCGACCTTGGTCTAGGATTACAGTAGACTGTAGAATGAGCGCTCAAATGACTTGGCGTGTCAAGTGGGTCACGCGTGCTGGGTACTTTTATACATGTCCGGTCACTCCGCGTACATGGTGTCACGCACTGAGTCTGTACTACTACTAGTACTAGTCAGCGCGCTGTGCACCGCGGTGTACAACTACTGTACGCACTGCGACCTGAGGACACGGCCGCACTTCAAACATGTGAAAAACGTGCCAAAAATGCAGGGCCTGGTACACCTGTACATAGTGCAGCGATCGCGTTGGGCTGAAGTCCTGTATGGTGCACGTTGCTGTCGACTTCGTCCTTCATTTTCTCTTTTTCACTTGTCAGAAACTACAAGTAAACGCTCTCTAGCTTTCTACTTCGCTTGTAGCCAACGGGTTACCTTCAGATATGAGATGAAGAGGAAAGGGTCTGACACCAGGTCGTTCTTCAGTGGACCGTTAGATAAGAGAGCTCGCGTTGGAGAGCCGTCCAAAGGTCCGTCGCGGCCGCTGTCGAGTGGAAATGTTCCAGTGCAGTTTGAAATGTCGTGAGAATGGAATAAAACTAGGGACCGGCGGATTCTGCTCGAAAAGGTGGCATATTCTGCTCGAAAAGCAGTGAAATTGGCAGAACCATACAAACCTTATGGCGGGCAATTCCTCGAATTCTGCTCCATTTTTGTATCCACATACCAAACATCCATGAAACTTACCAGAAAAAGTACAGAATTCTGCCAATTTTTCAGAAGAACATCCGCCGGACCCTAAATACAACAGCTCTTCACAACTTCAGGACTTTGTTGTTGTTGTATTTGTTGTTTTGTTTTGGGGGGGGGGGGGGGGATACCTTGGGCCCCCTCTTCGGCCAAGTCCTGGATCCGCCACTGCTAAAGCCATCACCATCACCATTTTTAATGGTTGCAGAGCAGATCTTGAATCCGTAGCAAAACGAAGTTCTAACGTATTATACTCGTTCCCCCATTGTGTATTATCACATAGATCCATTGGGAGCCGCCGTGACACATAGTACATCTAAATAGGCTAGTCACCCTCAGCCCTGGCAAGGCACTCTATTCTGAGCACTCCGCTTAGACCAGGCATGTAGTATGGTAATGCGCATAGACACCCCAAGCATGCACTACTACTACTACTAGTATGGTGATGTTCATAGTTCATGCATGCACTATGTCGATGCATAGACCATGCATGCACTATGTCGATGCATAGACCATGCATGCACTATGTCGATGCATAGACCATGCATGCACTATGGCGATGCATAGACCATGCATGTACTATGGCGATGCATAGACCATGCATGTAGAAACCGGTAATGACTACCCATGTTACTATATGACTGTATTAGAGGCTGCGATCATGAAAATGTTTCTACCGACTAACAGTTACTAGGACACTCGCCAATACTCAAAAGACGTATACAATCAGTTTGAGGCCTTGATAGTGATAGGCTTTGCTTTACCCTTGAATGCTCTCACAATACCAGTAGCAAATGAACTAATTCTATGGGAGGCTCAGGCCGACAGTCGTACAGTGCCACATCAGCAGTGCATGCAGACACTATTACTAATAAAATAACGTCACTTTACAGTACATTCCGTCCAGCCATTTCAAACACAGTCATACAGCTCCTACGATGAGATTTCTGTTCGAAAATCATTACAGAGCAAATGTAGCACAAATATGTCGGAGTAACATTCAACAACTGCACAGAACAGAATAGATAATCTACGTACGACCATGGAGGCAAGCAAGTGGGATTCAGCAAACAAACAAATTTTGACTTACTCATTCAGGAAATCAGATTGCACACAGCTATTTCATTCACCTTCTCCAGCACGCCGCTCGCAAAGCTAGCGAGCTACGCAGACAACGACTGAATAGTCAATCCGTTCAAGTTCACCTCACCTCTACAACACTGAATTGCAAAACTAGTCCAGAGTACAGGAGCAACAGGAAACACACCTCTCCAGATGACGTACATAAAATAGCGCATGTACTATCTTTGGCAGTGCAAGGAAGGAAGCACGACAACTCAAGCCAAGACAGGCAAGAGTCAATACTACAAACATACAGTCATGTAGTGAGCTAGCTGATGCAGGCCGTGTGACGGCGTGTGTCCAGTGCCAGTGACCCAGAATGCCAGATCCTCACTATCACTATCACTATCAGTGACAGTCAGTCAGTGGTGATGGCTTGCCGCCGAGCGCGCCGCTCAGCCCCAGACGGACCTACTACTCAGTAGTACTGCCACGGTGCTGTCCCTGTTCTACACCGCACTGCATGCAGTGCTACTGGCATGGCTAGTAGTACTGCTAAGTCTTTACTTGTCTGGTTTTTTTTTATGTTCACGCCACTGTCGCTACATGTAGTACGCTATGCATGTCGCGATGGTATCTGTCACGGAGACCCCGCCTAGCCTGGTCCGTCACGGTAAAATCCCTCGACTGTCTGCGAGGATACCGGTATGTGTTGTATGTAGTGCTAGATACATCAGCGCTGGCGAGATGTGATTCAGGTCACTGCAAGTGCAAGTATTTGAAGTACAGTACAGTAGTCTTGTAGTTCGTGGGCAAAGAAATCCGACACATTATTGTGCTGAAAGTAGGATATCATGGGCTCCTACTAGCTAGGCCTAGGTCCTGCGTCCCTCGCAATTTTTTTTTTTTTTTTTTTTTCTGTGAGGAAATTGTTATCAACTCCAAAGCACGAAAAAGGCCAAAAACTAAACCAAGAACATATGCAATAACATGTTATTTATAAAGACAGGACAAGTGAATAATTAGTCAGTCCCTCGCAATGGGTGTTTTTGCCATTTTTGGACCGTGCGCATGATGTTAGATGCAGCGCGCGCTACTTAGTACTTGACTTGCGGGTCTGATTTGTTTGGCCACCATTCTGTTGTTTACCAACCAGTCAAATACTAGTAGGTGCACTCATTGCAGTTTTCACGTTTGACTTTGACTTTGACTTGAGCTTGAGTCCTTTTGACCTCCACCAATCTTCTGCCGCGGACCGCGTGACGTTCGTTATTATGATTATGCATCATATTCATACTCTTGGCTTCAGGATTTGACTTATGAATTCAAAAATCAGTGTCACAATCGTCTCCGGTACATGTGATCATCGCGATTCATGGCATGACAGGTGACTGCAAAATGTCAGTGACATGCATACGATACCACTGTGGCTGGATATAGCTGCGAGTGGTGTCTGGGGTGGACGGTTTGATCGCACCTTTTTTGATGTAAGGGTTTTTAACCCGTTTGCGAGCTCAAACCGTACCACTTCAGTCCCCTCCAGCTACCAGCGTCACGAGCGAGAGAAACGGCGTTGCTATGAGGAGCGAGTCTGTGAAGTCGAGCATGGCTCCTTCTGCCCCGTCGTTCTCTCCACATCTGGAGGCATGGGGAAGTCAGCGACATCGCTATACAAGCGCATTGCTGACATGCTATCGGAAAAGTGCCAGGACCCCTACTCCAGGGTAATGGCATGGATCCGCTGCCGGGTAAGCTTTGCGCTTCTTCGTGCCTGCATTGCCTGCCTACGTGGAGCTCGTCGTCCCATCTTCACTCCCTCCGTCACAGCTGCTTCGGTAGATCTCGTGGTTGCCGAGGCTAGGCTCCGATAACTGAATGATCCTCCTTGAACAGACTCCTGCACTGTTATGAGAGTTCTCCCATTAATATTATTTCTTTTTTCTTTTTTCGTATTATTAGTTTGTTCCTTTTGTTATGATTTCTTGTGTTTTTCACTCGGCTTTATTATCATTTAACTTATTATTTGGTGCACATTAGCGCTACATGGTTTATAATAATTTCCCTTTTTCTTGATTTTGTATTTAGCGCTTTCGAGTGTTATTATTTGTTTTTCTTATTTTCGCGCCACATACAGCTGGCCGCACTATTCAAATAGGGCTTTCAAACGCAAGATCGTAACGTGAAGCAAAAAAAAAAATACCTGTGGCATTGTGCATCGGTGTAGACTGTAGTTTACCGTATTTTCTCCATTAGACGCCCCGGGCTTATATTTTTTCAACCAGTCCGGACCCCGGGCTTATTAGAGACTGGGCTTCTACTACTGGAGACTGAGTTCATAATTTTTCAGTATCCCAGGGACTCAGGGGCACATGTACTTTGGCTATTATTTTCAAAATACAGTAGTATTATCTTACTATAGTTTCCCAGCAGGTACCCTGACGGCAGTGTTGTACTTCCTGGCAGACTGAGTCCGTGTTTTTTTCGATCGGGGGATCACGGACTTGTGCCACAGCATGTGTTTATATGATACTGTGTGACATCAAACATGCATGGGCATAGGGACCGGCGGATTCTGCTCGAAAAGGTGGCAAATTCTGCTCGAAAAGCAGTGAAATTGGCAGAACCATACAAACCTTATGGCGGGCAATTCCTCGAATTCTGCTCCATTTTTTTATCCACATACCAAACATGCATGAAACTTTCCAGAAAAAGTACCGAATTCTGCCAATTTTTCTGCCGGCAGAATCCGCCGGACCCTCCATGGGCATGATCCATAACTAACTTTACACTTCTCCATTATAAGCCCTGCGCTTAAATCCCAGTGGAGACTTGGCTTGTCACTATAGATAATACCGGTACGTTAGTTTAACTTTAAAAAGTTATGATTCAAGTTACTTCTCTTTTGAATGTTTTGATACATGTAAATCATATAACCCGGCAGTCACTAAATTCCTGCTGAAAAAGTGTTAGGTACTACAACCTTTTCCAAGCTGCCCAGGCCCTTTATCTTGCCGCCCTCACTCGATCTCTCTTCCACAATGTAGTTGTTTCGTTCGTCTTTGTCTCCGTCTCTTCGACTCGTCAATAATAAAACGTTGTTCCGGCCGCCTACGTGTTCCTGTTGTCCGTTATGTCTGGAAATATGACTTCCTCTTCGTACCCACCAAAGCATTATGTATGCAGTTGTACCGCATACAGTATACTGTATAGTTGCAATACAAGCAGCTGCAGCATAGGTCCATGTAGAGTCAAATGTACATGTACCGTATTATCTCTAATATAAGCACAGTCTCCAATAATAGCACGTCTCCAATAATAGAACACCTTGGGGCGGCATTCAAAAAATAAAGTGCTCAGTCTCCATTATAAGCACACTGTGTAAATTCGTTATCTGTACCGGCGAAAAAACCCTGAAATGTGTGTGTCTGACATGAATTTGGCATGGCAACAAGCCTCTGATATGAGGTTGAAATAATAATGGAACAGTCTCCAATAAAGAAACGTCTCCAATAATAGCACGGGGCGGAGGTACATTGAAAAAATAAAGGACCGTGCTTATATTAGAGATAATACGGGTCATGCAGTCGTATTTACTCAGCTTTTATTTCTTGTGTACTTGCATACTGGTAATAGTTTAGTCCCACAACCTGCGATAAAATGATCAGCTGCAGCACCTACTCCACTTTTATGTTTATGTATCTATGTCATTCGGATCTTCCCAAGTTGTACAATGTACTGTTGAGATACCGAATTCAAATAAATCAATACCTACCATACGGTATGTCTCATTTTCTCAACAAAATCCACATATCTCCAGACACTGGGGTGAATAATGGAGTGTGGTGATGCATGCAGTGTGAACAGACATATAAAACAACATGTAGATACACACCCTTTTGAAAGATAGAACGCAATACAGTATGAGGACCTCTTTTCTTCCTATGTGCAGAGAGAGAGAGAGAGAGAGAGAGAGAGAGAGAGAGAGAGAGAGAGAGAGAGAGAGAGAGAGAGAGAGAGAGAGAGAGAGAGAGAGAGAGAGAGAGAGTGTGTGTGTGTGTGTGCGCTTGTGCGTGTGTGTGTGTGCCTTGCAAGCTGTTTGAATGGTGTAATCCCAGTACAAGTTTCTATGTTTAACATAGCGTGTTTGCTATCATAGCTTCAGCGATGGACAGGAAAGAGAGAGAGAGTGTGTGTACGTGTGTGTTTGATTGTGTGTGTGTGTGCGTGTGTGTGTGTGTGTGTGTTTGTAGGTGCATGTGTTTGAGAGAGAGAGAGATAAATAAATTGAGAGAGGAAGAGAGTGTACATTTAATCGTCGTAGTAGGGACCATTGGCTACGCAACCTGCCTGCCAGCATGGACACAGGCAATACAGGCTATTGCTGACTGAGTGATACATTACATTGTATTTCATGATTTTTTTACATCACTGCATGCGTCTACTCACACCTTCGTGAGAATGCGTTGGTGGAAAACAAGAAGAATAGTTTCTTGATTGGAGGAAGCAAATCAGCACACGAAGCACAGAAGCCATTATGGTTTCGACTAGGCCTTTCTTACCATTATTTTTCAAGTCAAATACAATGGTGATTAGCAAGGTAGCAAGCAACTTTCACTTTGTAGTTTGGTGCCACTAGTGCTATCTTTTAAAGTGCCATTTTGTCAATGCTCTGACCGCCAAAGTGTCGGTTATAAGGACTTGCTTGCTACCTTGCTAATCACCATTGTATTCGACTTGAAGAGTAATGGTACGAAAGGCCTAGTCGAAACTATAATAATGGCTTCTGTGCTGAAAAACAAGAAAAAAGAAGAAGAAAAAGGAAAAAAGAAAAGACCCTCTATTTGCTGGGTGGATCGTGTACAAGAGTATGTACATAAACGAGTACATGTATTGAGACACCCAAGCCCAAGCCGCTACCACCATCTCGTTTTGACGGATAGTAAGAGGAAAATCCGACACAGTAACTTAAAAGAAATTTCTTAGTCTCGTCCTATCCCGATCAACCCAGCCGGCACAACTATTCTGAGTTTCTGCCGTGCAAAAGCAGGCACCACTCAACGCAACACAATTACACCAAAAACTATCTGGATTTCCCCAACTAACAGAGGCGAGTAGGTGCCAGCTCAACCGGTAATGTCTTGTTTCCTTTCTCCTTTGGCATCTTGAGCCTGAAATAGGCTGAATGCACGGTCAGAAAGTTTTACATTTAGACGCATGGGGAAACCATTTTGAAACCTTGTGCAAGATTTTCCCAGGCTCACAGGAAGTCACTAAGGGCGTGTTCAAATTGTCACTCTTTGACTT